AGTGTCAGTTAGTTGAGTCAAAGGGATAGCACTGACCCTACTTACAGCCTTCAATGTTCTTCGTAGTATTATATGGTCTTTCTTGAGTAGCCCAGGGAAGAATAATGGAGAACAATAAAGAATGATGGGCAAAACACATGAATTAATAAATTGTATGAGAAGAGATTGGGTTATACCTGAGTGCCTCAACTTCTTTATGTAATAAGTCAGACAGAAAATCTTCTTAGAAACTATAAGAATATGAGACGACCAGCAAAGGTTTGAAGAGAAACTAATGCCAAGATAAGAAACGCTTGACTTACTCTCTATCATGGTACCATCAATATTACAACAATCATGAGATTGGATCAATCCATGCATGTCTTTTTCACTTCTCAAGCTGAAATCAACAGTACTACATTTAGTTGGATTTAGTTTAAGACCATTTGAGCCAGACCAATCCTTAACTTCAGCTAAGAAGCCATTCATATGGGAACAATCCGATGTGGAAACTACAGGGACAGAAACGGTCAGATCATCAGCATACTTAGTGAAGTTAACTTTGGCTGAGTTCGGAAGGTCATGCAGAAAGAAAGAGAAAAGAAATGGAGAAAGTACTGCACCTTGAGGCACACCACTTTCAGTTAGCTGAGAAGTGGAGCGCTTTCCAGCCAAAACAGTATGCTGTTTCCTATCCTTAAAATAAGAAGACAGCCATCTAGTTGTCCAGGACTCTGTTTGTGCTGAAATCATCTTTCCTAATAAAAGTGTCCTAGGAACAGAGTCGAAAGATGCAGTATAGTCTAAAAAAGCTGTTCGAACGAACTTAGCACCCTTATCAAGGCAGGAAACAATATTGACCTGTATGACGTACTTCCCATTAATAAGCCAATTTGATCTCTCGCTATCTTATAATGCCTATCAGTTGCGAACTGATTTCAGTGTACTCCTAGGAATGCTCTCTTTGTGTTCCTTCCTTCTGTCTGACGGCGTTCACAGTAGGATAATGAAAGCTTTGCAAGGAAGCCATTCAGCTCAGGAGAACACTATAATATGTATGCATTTGCATTGAGTCATTTTTGTTGCATGTAGACTTGATGAACCAGTCAGGATTCAGTAATCAACCTTTCTCTCTCTCCACCTAAATAGATTACTTTTTAGAATTTTAACCCTCTCCCACCATGCCATTGTGTTAATGCATGCAGTGCAATTGCTGAGCTTTTTTCTAAATTACTTATCTTCTCGGCTGGGGTCAACCATTCTTACCTTAGCCACTAAATTCTTATGTTCCGACAATCTGATTACCCCCGATCTACTAGTCTGTTTCACCTATGTAGTTGACCTCACAGTCATTGCAAGGTATTTTGTAAAATTATATTATTTTGCTTAATTGGGTCCACCGGGTCTTTGAGCCTACAGAGCTTGTCCTACCTGAGTGAGTTCGTAGGTTTGAATGCCACCACCACTCTAATTCCTGTTTTATTGAAAAGCCTACGTAGGGTCTCAGACGTTCCCTTCTTATATGGTATAACTGCTGTACATGACTTATATTCTCTCTTATTTATGTTATCATTACTAGTTTCACAATTATTTTTTTAATTTTGCTTTTGGCATTAACCCTAAAAAACCAAAAACAAAGCAAAATCAAACTTAACAAAATCGGAAAGACTAGCTCTAATTAGTCTAAAACAGGATAGAAATATCGTCATCACAAAAGCTGATAAAGGAAACCTTTCAGTAGTTTTGGATAAATTTGACTATATCAAGAAAGTCACTGAACATATTGAGACGGGTCCGTTCATATGAGGAAATTAAGAAACCTGTAGATACAATAATGAATAAGGTTAATAGATCTACAGCGGATTACATACGCAGAATGAAGCTGTCACTCGTTGGTGTGTCTAAATGATTTAATTTAATGCCTAAAACTAATAATGCTAGTAGAATGTATGATGCTAACATACCAATCAATATGCCCACCTTAGAAGCAGTTAAAAAAGAACTAACTGCAGATCCTGAACTCACTCACTCATAGGACAAAGCTGCCCATTGAAGAGGAAATTATTTTAGGAATTCAGTTATGCCTCACTCACATCTACTATCTTTAAATTCCAAGGCAATCAAATATATAGACAAACAGAAGGTGTAGCAATGGGATGCATCACCAATATCCCCTATCGTAGCAGATATATTTATGGATAGCTGGGAAAATATGGCTCTAATTACACTTAATCCTACTCCAAAAATATGGTGGAGATATGTGGATGACACTTTCACACACAGTGTTAAAAACAGAACATGTCTCTCTCTATAGCTTCTTCACACACACACATAAACTCACTAGTAGAGGGAATAAAATTCACATTTGAATCGGAAGATGAACAGAGAAAAATCCAGACTTCCGTACGGTATTACAACACAAGAGTAGGTGGCATTGCTAATGATTGGTGATAACAATAAATATACCGTGCCCACAGCAATATAACCTCCAGAAAGTACCCCACTCGACTACCGCTACATACCTGACCTTCTTCTCTATATGCTCTACCACGAAAATGACGATCCCAAGAAACGAGAAATTAAGTCTGTAAAAGTATTTTGTATTTTGTTTATGGTTGCCATAAAAATAATACAAAATATTGAAAGGAAAAAACAATCGGAAAGAAAAAAAGCCGCCCGAAAAACGCCGAACCTCCTCCCACGTAATTACCTTTAGAAAAAAAATAATAAAATTATTAGATTCTGTATTAACTGGTAGAATTTGTTTAAAATAAAATAAGAACCATGACACATGCACAATTAATATGCGCAACACAGGATATAGATCCGGGTCTAAAATTAAAAAGGTGTTCACTGTCTGCATTTTAAAAAATTTCACAAACACAATGGTGAATATCAACCGACCGATAACTGCTACCTTGCCGTGGTGGTCGGGCTTGAATGCCGCTGTGACCCAACAAGCTAAACTGGCTGGGACTCATGTCCCTGCAGGTCCTACCATGCCAGGAAGGTTGTTTGGATAGCGGTTAGACTAAAAGCAGTTACCATGGGGTACATGGGCTCCAGAATTCAATCGGATCAAATGGCGTATGAACCCATATGGGTCACCGGCAACCATGGGAACGCAGCTCCGCTGCCTTGCGGATTAGACTCCAAGTCAAAGGCTCGGGGGGTGGTCCCTTAGGAAAACCATCCGCTTCGGTCTGGGCGCCCGGGCAGTATCTCAGCCCTCACACAATATTATGTGGCGCATCTTTCTTGGTGCCATATTGTACCAAGTTTTTCTGTGTTTAAATAAATCTTAATTATTTCACAACGGAATAAAAAACATGTGTCAAGAACAATTTTTCCGGTCATTCCACAACACACATTAAGACTCACTTAAATCATGTGTAATTACACGATATACAACAGTTTATCTTGCATAAAGAACTGCTTCTCACTGTCGGTCGGTTTTCGACATAGAACTTTGCACATATGTGCGGCAGTTCAAGTCGCCACACTCCACTCCTTGTAGCGCACAAAGCAAGAGAAGAAAGTAGGAGAAATGGATAATATAGACAGTAAACAGAGGTGTGAGACAAAGGAATAGTAATAACGAAGAACAAAACAGTTTCATTGGGAATCATGAGTCACAAGGAGTAGATGCACCAGCCATCATTGAGAACGATTTTGAGCCATGTCACCAATCGTTTCCAACCATTGGTTTTTACCGTTCCGAGGACCTCAACCAGGAAGCCAGTCTACACCTTCCTACATGGCTTAGACT